ACACTAGTGGAACATATCAACATCAAATCTGGAGTCTGAATCATGTGCGGTCTTCACATCAGTTCCTGTTAAAAACATTCCCCCTGGATGACGAGTAAATGAGGACAGAATGAAGCGAGTCTTTAACACTGAGTATCAGCTGTGGCGTGTGTGTGTGTGTGTGTGTGTGTGTTTAGAGGATGCTGGATTCTGGAAGGTTTATAATGAACGTTCCCCTGCCGCTGATGTGATAACAGCTCTTTGTTCCGCTCTTCACACACACACACACACACACACACACCCCAGGCCTCCGCATGATTCTTCACGGTGAGCTGATGCTCATTTCTCCGTCAGGAATCCTCAAGGGCCGCTTTAAAGTCACAACTTCCACTTTGCGATATGAGAATGCAGTTTGTGAGCGTAAGCTGCTTTAGCGCTGCTGTTTATTTTGCAGCGTTGAGGCTTTTATCTGAGGGATTATAATCCTCGCAGCGCAGAGATGCTGATGACAGCTCTGAGTCTCTTTGTGTCTGAGCGTCTGCCACGGTTAAAGACATTCCAGCACATCAACACCTCAGAACCTTAGAACCTCAGAACCTCTGGACCTCAGAAGCTCTGGACATCTGGACCTCAGAACCTCTGGACCTCAGAACCTTAGAACCTCAGAACGTCTAGACATCTAGAACCTCTGAACTTCTGGACATCTAGAACCTCTGGACCTCAGAACCTCAGAACGTCTAGACATCTAGAACCTCTGAACTTCTGGTCCTCAGAACCTCAGAACGTCTAGACATCTAGAACCTCTGAACCTCTGGACATCTAGAACCTCTGGACCTCAGAACGTCTAGACATCTAGAACCTCTGAACTTCTGGACCTCAGAACATCTAGACATCTAGAACCTCAGAACGTCTAGACATCTAGAACCTCTGTACCTCTGGACCTCAGAACCTCAGAACGTCTAGACATCTAGAACCTCTGGACATCTAGAACCTCTGAACCTCTGGACTTCAGAACCTCAGAACGTCTAGACATCTAGAACCTCTGGCACTCAGAACCTCTGGACATCTAGAACCTCTGGACCTCAGAACCTCAGAACGTCTAGACATCTAGAACCTATGAACTTCTGGACCTCAGAACCTCAGAACGTCTAGACATCTAGAACCTCTGAACCTCAGAACCTCTGGACATCTAGAACCTCTGGACCTCAGAACCTCTGGACATCTAGAACCTCTGGACCTCAGAAGCTCAGAACCTCTGGACTTCTGAACACCTAGAACCTCTGGACCTCTGGACTTCTGGACCTCTGAACCTCTTAAACTGTCCTGCAAGTGTTCTTCAGCTGATGATTTCTGCTCGTGTATGTTCTGCTGTAATTGTGATAAAGCTGCTTGTTTTCAAACTTTAGTTTTATTAACAGAAACTGTTTCAATGGAGGTTTAAGAACAGCTCGGTCTTCAATAAATCATCAGTGTTGTCGTGGCTTTATCATCGTGTTCCCTCGACTAGAACCCAACAGGATTTTCCCTCGGGCTTTTTTTGGATTACTGCAGAAAATAAGTCCAACAAACATTCATGGATTTCCATAAAGGATTCTTCCTCATCTCTTTGTGCATCATGATAATCTCCTGAGCCTGAAGCTGCTGTAAACGGACTCTTACTTTAAGAGTTAGAATAGTTGCAAGAGAGAGATTATAACGAGTCGTGAGCCGAGTGGTGCTTCTGTATTAAGTTTGCCTACCTCGATCGCTCCTCATCATCAGATCTTTGAGGATGACTGAACTCATCTGTGTGTCCTGAGCTCGTTTGATTCTTAAATGATTTCTGTCTCTGTAAGGTGATTGGTTCTTCTCTAAGCACTTTGAATAATGAGTGTGTATCAGGAACACGAATAATGATTCCTGCTATGGTTGTTGTTCTCTCTCTCTCTCTCTCTCTCTCACGTCACTTTCTATATTCTCCACATGAGCACCTCAAATTAGCAGCAATTATTCTAAGTGTAAAATTAAATTACAGGCTGATGAAGGAGCGGATCTGCTCCGTAAACTCTGTATTCGGCTCACGTAACACAACAATTGAGTTTGGAAGCTTTCCTCCGGTGAGACGGTGACTGAGCGTGACCTTTGACAGAAACACAGACCCGTGATCTATGATGCAGACGCTAAATTAATGAGAAGTCTCCATTAGAAAAATGACATGACACAGCTGATATCAGGAGCGTCTCATCATCACAAACGCTTCTGACGCGGGAGAGAAATGAGATATCGAACAGCCGTCGCTGGAGATCCCGCTGGAGAAAGACAACACGCGATAAAGCTCCGGGGGAATTTTAGTGTCGTTGAGATGCTATTAGAGTTATTTTAAAGAGGTAATGTTTATTACTTTAATGTTCCTTGAGGTTCACTTATAATGATAAAGTTTTTTGCACAAATGTAAATGCGGAAAAAACCTCGTTCTGAGCCTCTGTCTGAAATGATGAGTTTTAACACACTGCTCTGATTGGCTGACGTCACTACATAGTGTCAACACGTCACAAACCACCTTGTAACCAATCAGATCAGCGAGTGATCGCCAACCAGTGGATCTCTGAGTGAGTGAGTGAGTGGAGGCGGGGCTCATTTGCATATTCATAGAACCGCGCATACTAAATGAGGCGAGGGTGTCGAGTTACATTCAAGATATTTTAAGGCATGGGTTAATTTTTACTTTCAACGGAAAAAAACTTTTGTAATTTTGGTGATCAAAGATGAGTTGGATAAAGTAATTTGTCCGAGTAACTCGTCAAGCCGATTTGATCATTGTGTCGTGACCCCTTTAATAGTTTTGAGTTTTTATATATTTTTCATTTGTTTTTGTTCTGGTTATAAATGCTTATTGCACGTTCGAACAGGGAATGTTCTGTCATGGATCTCAAAGTTATGAACAAACGTTCTTCCAGGAACATTAATGGAACGGAAATGTTACTGGTTTCAGAGAACATTCAAAAGAAACGTTCCCATTATTTGCTATAATTTTACATGAACATTTTATTTCAAGTAACGAGTGTCTGACGGGGCTGTGTTTCCGTCTGAGGATCGTCATGTCTGTTTGATTGGTGATGTGTTTCAGGTGTGTGTGTGTGTGTGTGTGTGTTGTTCTCGTCCGCTGAGCTGCTGATTACAGAAGATTACCTCAGATGAGGGTTAGTGACTGAGAACGGGTCTTTAAAGCATCGGATCCAATTAAGCAGAGCTGGCCCAGAGTCGAGGACCGCGATCGGCTTCTGCCGTTTCACACACACTTCCGAACCCTGCGTTTGTGAGAGTGTGTGTTTGTGTGCAGATGATTCTGCTCGTCTGCTTCTGATTGTCAGGAATGGAGAAGGTTGTGTAACGCTGTCGTCGTTCTCCTTCACCAGTGTGTGTGTGTGTGTGTGTGTGTGTGTGTGTGTGTGTGTTATTCAGCAGCTCGTGATGAAGAAAAGAGGGATTGTTTGTGCGTTCGGCCCTTTTCTAGTAAAATCTGTCTCCCAGAAGTCCTGGTCCGTGTTCATTAACACGAGTGTGTGTTTCTCCGTCCATCATTCACTGGCGCTTCAATTACAGCTTTAATTCATTACAGGCCTGACACTCCTCCACTGTCAATCATCTCTCTGGACACTGAGTGTGTGTGTGTGTTCGTTTAGTTTAATCTGATGTTGTGGTGTTTGAACACATTATTGCAGTATTTTCATCTTGCCATATAAAGAGTTGTGTTTGCTACAATCAAACCGTTTACATGCGTGACCGTGAAGTTCCTCGTATATCGAGAGATTCGCTTCTGGAACAGGAACACATGTGGGCGGGGCTTGATCCTGTCTGTGGGGAACTGATTGGATGGTTGTGGTCTGCTATTGGCTGATCTCGTGTGAGTGACAGGTTGCCCCGCCCACATCATCAGAGATGCTGAAGAGGAACTGATTCTGATTCAACATTATTAAAATGTGCACTAATTAATCATTGATGATGAACACTGCAATATTCTATAACAAATCAGAATTCATGATGACATTTGTGTACAAAAGTCTGACCTTTTGTCAGTGTGATTAAATCATGAGTCGAGAGATCAGTCTTCACACTGGTGCATTGTGGGATACAGTGTGTCATGCAGGATGAATGCAGAAATCTACGCACTTACAAGACATGAAAAGCACTGAATTCTTTAGAACAGTGAATGCATGAACTCGACGTCAGTCGCTCTGGAGGAAAGTGTGTGTGTGTGTGTGTGTGTGTGCAGCTGCGTATCATCACTCGCTTTTTCTTCCATGTGAACAGAAGTGCAGCAGAATCTGTGATTTGTGGAGTAATTTGTTGCTCACGGAAACTTTGGCGCCGTCAGAGGTCAGAGGTCGGTGTGTAAATCAGAGCCACTGTAATGAAGATTGCTTTTCCCTGCTGCGCAATCTCTGATTGGCTGAGAACCGTGTCAGCAGTTTCTTACCCATGATGCTCAGCGTTGCGATCGATCTGTCAACCTCCTCCTGCAGTTCCTCCACTGACCACTAGAGGCGCTGCAGCACAACATGCCCAACGTTACAGCAGGATAAACATGTTGAAGTGGTCTTGGTCTGTATCGCTAATGTTGTCCTTCATGGCGACTGTGAGGAGGGGGTGATGGATTTTTTATAACTCATCCGTTTAAATTTTATTAAGCTTTAACGTTCTGCTTAATTAAGGGCGTGGCCACTTGAGTGACAGGTGAATTTCCTCTGATGTCACTACTAGCCGTTTATCTGCTAGCGTTAGCGTCACGTCACCTCAGCTAATCCGCCTCGCTGCACATTGTCGTTTATCCGCGAGTGACGTGCTAACAATATGGTGACGGCCGGCTCCGCCCACTTTGGGCTTCACTACGGGTGATGTCACACACACTTACAGTCTACGGCTTCACCTGAACATGTGATGTGTTATCCTGATGGGCTTTCTAGTCTATGGATCTGATGCATATTCCTCTAAGCCAGTTAAAGTGAGCTGTGTGTGTGTGTGTGTGTGTGTGTCCTCCGCAGGCTGAAGTTCAGAGGTCAAACATGCGGTCTCAGGCCCTGTTGCTGTATTTCTCCGTTCTTCACACGGCAGGAGCCGCTTTCCCAGAAGACACCGAGCCCATCAGTGTGTCACACGCCAACTGTGAGTCTCCTCTCTCCTCTCCTCCTCTCTCCTCCTCCTCTCTCCTCCTCTCTCCTCCTCTCTCTCCTCCTCTCTCCTCCTCTCTCTCCTCCTCTCTCCTCCTCTCTCCTCCTCTCTCCTCCTCCTCTCTCCTCCTCTCTCCTCCTCCTCCTCTCTTCTCCTCTCTCCTCCTCTCTCCTCCTCTCTCCTGCTCTCTCCTCCTCTCTCCTCCTCCTCTCTCCTCCTCTCTCCTCCTCCTCCTCTCTCCTCCTCTCTCCTCCTCCTCTCTCCTCCTCTCTCCTCCTCCTCCTCTCTTCTCCTCTCTCCTCCTCTCTCCTGCTCTCTCCTCCTCTCTCCTCTCTCCTCCCTCCTCCTCTCTCCTCCTCTCTCCTCCTCTCTCCTCCTCTCCTCCTCTCTCCTCCTCTCTCCTCCTCTCTCTCCTCCTCTCTCCTCTTCTCTCCTCTCTCCTCTCTCCTCCTCTCTCCTCTCTCCTCCTCTCTCCTCCTCTCTCCTCCTCCCTGCTCCTCCTCTCCTCCTCTCTCCTCCTCCCTGCTCCTCCTCTCCTCCTCTCTCCTCCTCTCTCCTCTTCTCTCCTCTCTCCTCCTCTCTCCTCCTATTCTCCTCCTCCTCTCTCCTGCTCTCTCCTGCTCTCTCCTCCTCTCTCCTCTCTCCTCCCTCCTCCTCCTCTCTCCTCTCTCCTCTCTCTCCTCTCCCTCCTCTCTCCTCCCTCCTCCTCCTCTCTCCTCCTCTCTCTCCTCCTCTCTCCTCCCTCTCCTCCTCTCTCCTCCTCTCTCTCCTCCTCTCTCCTCTTCTCTCCTCTCTCCTCTCTCCTCCTCTCTCCTCCTCTCTCCTCTCTCCTCTCTCTCCTCGCTCCTCCTCCCTGCTCCTCCTCTCCTCCTCTCTCCTCCTCTCTCCTCCTCTCCTCTTTCCTCCTCTCCTCCTCTCTCCTCTTCTCTCCTCTCTCCTCCTCTCTCCTCCTATTTTCCTCCTCCTCTCTCCTCCTCTCCTCTTCTCTCCTCTCTCCTCCTCTCTCCTCCTATTCTCCTCCTCCTCTCTCCTCCTCTCTCCTCCTATTCTCCTCCTCCTCTCTCCTCCTCCTCTCTCCTCCTCTCTCCTCTTCTCTCCTCTCTCCTCTCTCATCCTATTCTCCTCCTCCTCTCTCCTCCTCCTCTCTCCTCCTCTCTCTTCCTCTCCTCCTCTCTCCTCCTCTCCTCCTCCTCTCTCCTCCTCTCTCCTCCTCCTCTCCTCCTCCTCTCTCCTCCTCTTAGAAACTGTAAGTGTTTTCGAGCAGAGGCTGTGAGACTGAGAGATCTTTTGTTTTGCCTGTCAGGGTGAAGATCTGAATGCTTCACACACACACACGCACACCAACAAGCACACACACGCTCACTCACACACGCACTAACACACACACACACACACACACACACACACACACACTATCATGCACACACACACTCTCACGTGTTATTTTGAAGGGGGGTTTGCATGGACGTGATGTGATGGGATCTCCACTATCCCTCAGGAACATCATTTAGTGTGATTTACGAACACAACATCAAACATTTCAGCTTTTAACTTTAATTCTCAATCAAATCGCAGTGTTTTTTCCAGCTCTCTTAAAAATAAATCTCCTTTATCGGCATCGATGGTTTCATGAAGAAGCTTTTACATCCACCGAACCTTTCAGCGCATAAAAGCTTCTCTATAGTGGAAAAAGATTATTCAGATTATAGAAATCTCGTCTGTGACATCATCAGTGTAAAGAAAACACCCTTTAATATCCTCTATTGGTGAGAGTGCCGCTAGTTTCTCTGCAAAATGAAAAAAAAAAAATCAAACCAAAGCATTATTAAATTTAGAGGCATGTCATGTGACCATTAATGAACATCAGGGAACATGTGATTATGATAATGAATGTAATATTTGAGTTATAGGCTCTTTAATGAACTGATCATCAAATTCAACATTGACGTTCCTCTTTTTCTCCGTCAGATACCAAACAATATCCAGCGTTCGTGGGCCACAAGCCGGGCCGGAACAACACGCAGCGCCACCGCCTGGACATCCAGCTGATCGTGCTCATGAACCGCACGCTGTACGTCGCTGCCAGGTGAGTGCGCGGACGGATCCGCTAGCAGACACGGCTGCCTGGAGATGGCCCAGAGCGTCGGCATGGTAACCGGCGGCCGCTCCAGTAGCAGCATACGGACATTAGCGAACACGTTCACACACTACGACCTCTTCGTGCTAACCGACGTCTGTTCATGAAGTTTTACGTTGGTGTTATCATAACAGGGCCGTCTAGGTTACAGTTCAGTGGATAGTGTTAGTTTGTGAACATGTCTACAGTCTGTCTCTGATGTGAATCACAACAAATAATCATAATATATCTTTATTCATTTAATAATCCTTTAGCTGTAAATGATCCCAAGTCTTCTCATGATGAACATGCTTGTTTGATTTGGCCAGAGATTAAAGATGTCACCTGATCCGCCCACACGTCCTCCACCAATGAGAACGCTGTCTCTCTTTGGTTGGTTTAGACTCCGCCCACTCATCCTCCACGAATGAGAACCCTCTCTCTCTTTAATTGGTTTGTTTAGACTCCACCCACTCGTCCTCCACCAATGAGAATGCTGTCTTTCTCTTTGATTGGTTGGTTTAGACTCCGCCCACTCGTCCTCCACCAATGAGAACGCTGTCTATCTCTTTGATTGGTTGGTTTAGACTCCGCCCACTTGTCCTCGTCCTCCACCAATGAGAACGCTGTCTATCTCTTTGATTGGTTGGTTTAGACTCCGCCCACTCGTCCTCCACCAATGAGAACGCTGTCTATCTCTTTGATTGGTTGGTTTAGACTCCTCCCACTCGTCCTCCACCAATGAGAACGCTGTCTATCTCTTTGATTGGTTGGTTTAGACTCCGCCCACTCGTCCTCCACCAATGAGAACGCTGTCTATCTCTTTGATTGGTTGGTTTAGACTCCGCCCACTCATCCTCCACCAATGAGAATGCTGTCTATCTCTTTGATTGGTTGGTTTAGACTCCACCCACTCGCCCTCCACCAATGAGAACGCTGTCTATCTCTTTGATTGGTTGGTTTAGACTCCACCCACTCGCCCTCCACCAATGAGAACGCTGTCTATCTCTTTGATTGGTTGGTTTAGACTCCACCCACTCGTCCTCCACCAATGAGAATGCTGTCTATCTCTTTGATTGGTTGGTTTAGACTCCACCCACTCGTCCTCCACCAATGAGAATGCTGTCTATCTCTTTGATTGGTTGGTTTAGACTCCACCCACTCGTCCTCCACCAATGAGAATGCTGTCTATCTCTTTGATTGGTTGGTTTAGACTCCACCCACTCGTCCTCCACCAATGAGAATGCTGTCTATCTCTTTGATTGGTTGGTTTAGACTCCGCCCACTCATCCTCCACCAATGAGAATGCTGTCTATCTCTTTGATTGGTTTGTTTAGACTCCGCCCACTCGTCCTCCACCAATGAGAACGACGGTGTTTCTGTTTCAGTTCAGGTCTCAAACACAGTCACTGATCAGGTATCGGTGTAGAGCTGCGGATCCTCTCGATATGATGTGTTTAGTTCATGATTTTAGTCTCAGATACTGTGTTCAGCTTGAACACACACACACACACACATATACATACACTCTCACTCTCTCTCTCTCACACACACACACACACACACACAGCTGAGCATTAAGCTGGTGTTAGTGTCTCAGTATGTGCATGCGGGACATTGTCCACATTCCTCAGTGGTCGGCCCCGGCACCACAGAAACCCGAACCCCCGCATGAGCCCCTGAGGGCCCGTCATGGGAACCGAGACCCTGGGGCCGCCACTGACCCCAGAACAGCTGAGAAACAGCAGAAAGTTCTGGAGAAGCCGTGTGTGTGTGTGTGTGTCGCTCGGGACACACATGATGAAGGGGCGGGGCTACAGCAGAGGGGGAGGCGGGCTTGTGTGGATTGACAGGTGTGAGACGCATACTAATGAGCGCCTTTCTCTGCGAACAGAGAGTGAGAGAGTTTGACAAAAGGCCACCAGATGGACGTTCTCCCGCATTCCTGCACACAAAGAGCCTCTGTTGAGGCCAGCACCCGTCGGACCTGCTCTCAGATCAGCTTCTGCTGCAGATATGCTCTTTTAGATCTGATGGATTACGTATTTGCTTTGCTTAACAGACCCGAACTCGCTTCTGTATGGTGGTGTTCCAGATGATTGTCTGCATGTTTGCGTTACAGTGTGTGCGATCAAACATCACAACTCGATTAAATCACCTTATCGTTCTCCTGATGCAGAACCAGCAGCCGTTTAACCTTCACATGGCAGGCAAAAATTACACAGAATTCATTTTATATTTCAATGAATGTACTATATTTTATTTCGATAATTTTTAAAATGTCTTTTTGGATTTTTAGGGGATTTTATGGTACTAAATTATACTCATGCAGTATTTATAATCTATTTATTCACGTTTGAAAATTACGCATAGACCTGAAAATTCATTTCCAGCTTAAACTGGTAAATCTAGAACGCTTTAGAGGACAGACTGAAGTTTGATCTCTTCTCAAACACGACTCTCGGCAGATTATTGCTGACGTAAACAAAGTAAAAAAAAAGTGAACTTTTAAAAAAGTTACCGAATTGTATGTTTATTATTATGAAAAGTTGTCAATTTTTATATGAAATATATATTTTCAAAAACATGTTTTTCTCTAAAACTATGATAAATCGCAGCCGTAAGTCTCCACAAGTGTGTGTTCCGCATGTGAGCCGATCTCTCGGTAAACGAGCGTTCAGTGTGTGTGTGTGTGTTTGTGTGTGTGTGTGTGTGTGTGTTCGGCTGCAGTTCCACACGCTTCCACTAGAGGAAACTCTCATTCATTTCCAGTGCGGCGTTTCTGACGCGAGGAGCACACGTGTGTGACTGTCCATATCAGGACCATCAAACCTGTTCAGATCATGTCCATGATTTATGTGTGTGTTCATACAGCATATTCTGAGGAAGAAAAGATAAATAAAAAAAAACAAATGTAAAATGTTTCGGTTAAGAATAATGGAAGAGCACCAGAGAGGCTTCTGTGGTCACACACACGTGTCCGTCGCGGCCCCTGTGATCGTGTGTGTGTGTGTGTGTGTGAGGAGCTGATACATGCTCTCAGATCTGACCGGCGCTCGTCGTGTGAACGGAGGCCGTAAATCTGTGGGAACGAGACACACGAGTGCTTAAAGTTAATGATGCGGATGCTCATCTATTAGCGCTGTTTAACTCGCTGACAGTCACATGACCAGAGCTCTGACGCGCGGGACTCGCCTTACAGGTTCAGGTCCGGATATTATATCATATTTTTATGATGAACAAGCAAAATTACAGCTGAACCCAACTGCTATAAACACATAATGTAAATCCAGCGTGTAATGTTGTTTATGTGTCTATGTGTTTAATCTGCTTTAACACACACCGTGTGTGCGTTGATAAGTGGACAGCATTGCTGAGTATTTCCTCCTTAAAACTGCAGTGAACCAAAGACAGTCTCAAAAACACACTTTGGTGTTTCTGACGTCACAAACCACCTTGGAACCAATCAGATCAACGTGTGTGAGTCAACCAGAGTGAGTGAGTGGAGGCGGGGCTCATTTGCATATTCATAGAACTGCACATACTAAATGAGGCGAGGGTGTCGAGTTACATTCAAGATATTTTAAGGCATGAAGAATTTTTTTCAAAGATGAGTTTTTAGGGATACAATTATTGACTACAAGGTATAAATACAAATCAATAAAAAATTTAAAGTCCAAGCTCACATAATAATAACCATCATTATTTCTAATAAAACTTCACTGTAATAATTACTTTAAGTGCTTAGACCCAGTTATATGATTTACACCAGAGCGAGAACATGCATTATAGACGTCAGATATACTGTAGCTTCTAGATCTGCGTGTGTGTGTGTGTGTGTGTGTGTGTGTGAATCTGAGGATGATGGTGTCTTCATCACTCCTCCGTCTCACAGCTTCAGTAATTACTCGCTAGAATGGAATTTCACTAATGAGCGCGCGACACCGTACCTGTGCAATTAAAATTGATCAGCCGGCGTCAGAAACACAATCTCTGCGGTCGAGCGGTGTAACTCAGGAGGAGTGTGTGAGATCTGCATTAATCGTGTCCATCAGAAGATCTGCTCGTCCGTCTCTGACCCCAGAACTGCACTCATTTCACAAATGGCCTTTCTATTAGATTGAGCTTCTGCTGCGTCGAGTCTGAACACGAGACCAGATATGAGCGTCAGCGGATCCAAATCAAACACACTGGACGTGGAGAATTACAAATCATCAGCTAATGAACTGATCTGACTCTAATAACATGTTACACGTAAACCAATCCGCCAGTGTGGGCGGGGCTTCTCCTTTAAGAGGGGCAATATCGCGGGTGAATTATGTACACTATGTTTATTACAATGTTATGATGAACTATGTTTGTTGAAAGCGTTTGTAAGGAAGCTGATGTTAGAAGGGTGTGTGACTCTGAGCAACACATCATTAGCTGATTAATAACGTAGTCAAGCCAAAGGCTAATCAGATTAATTACTGTCACGTGTGCGGTGTTGTAGAGCGGCGGATTAGCGATCTGAGCCGCTGTGACTCACTCAATCAGTTTCTGGAGGAGGCAAACCAAGACCTGTGTAGCGACTGGAGGCGGAGACTAATTAGCATATTCATGGTTCCGCGTGTACTAAATGAAGCAAGGGTGTCCGGTTACAATAATGCTATTTTAAAGCATGAAGAAATTATTTTATGAGGAAAAACATTTAAACATGTAACTTTGATGATCTTCTTCAAGCCGTCATTCAGAGTTTAATTTGATTTCGAGTGGATAGAGAACTGACTTTTGAATTTGCCAACATTCAAACTCAAGAACTGAATGAGATTCTTAGTGTACTTCTGAACGCGGTTCGAGAGAGCGATGTTCGTGTGGACGTCAGATTACAGTAAGGCTCTGGAGTGTTTTTTAACCTTTTTGAGGGCCGTTTTTACTTGTATGTCTTATTAAATGCATCTGTGTTGTCTTTGATATCAGAATACTGTAGTCTGTTGCCAATCACATCTGATCAGAGACAACCATCTTTAGTTACACAAATTATCAATTAAATAACAGAAGCTTATCTCAGTGTTGGGCTGCGATTGTTGATTACTGTAGATGATGATGAGTTTGTGATATGGAGTGTGAGACGAGTGACGCTGTGGATGTGTCTTCACAGAGATCACATTTACACGGTGGACATCGAGACGGCCAACACCGAGGAGATCTTCTTCAGCAAGGTGAGTCCTGATCCAGTTCTCTCTTAATCACCTGGCAAACGAGCCGAGCGGACGAGCGCCTCATCCAATCAGGAGCCGCCGTCGAGCGTCACGTGACCCAGAGAGACGCGTTAGTTTATTTATTTATTCATCCTTTATTTAAGCAGGTAAATCCCCTTGAGATATCACTATCTCTTGTTCCACTGACGCCGGTCAAGACGAGTTTCACGCACAGATGAACATAGAAAACTCAACTCGCACAAATCTAAACAGGAAAACCAAGAAAAACTCATATAAGAGCACTCAGAGCTGACAATATCTGTAGTTTAAGTATATTTTGCAGATCGTTCCAGGATATCTTTAATCTGTGATGGAGATCTGGTGTAATAACTGATTGAAACTTCCCTAAAAGAGCCTTAGTGAACACACACATGTGCGATTCCCTTCTCTGATGATTCATATAGTGTACAGCGAAGAGTGAATCTGCTCCGCAATCAAGCGTATGATCGACAGAGTCCAGCACGATCAATAACAGATCCAAAAAGACTCATTTTTTAAGGACTAAAGCATTTTTTCCAGTGATCATTTATTTCATATTTTGGCTTCAGCTTCTTCTAACTCCATCTAAGGCTGCCGTTATGTATCGTATTTATTTGGTGTGTGCCGGCGGATCGATGAGGTTTAATCAGGCGCTGGTGTGTTACGGCGGCATCGGCCCGTTTGACCCTTGACCCCTGACCCTATGATCCAGGGGAATGTGTGAGCGCATCTATTGATCCTGTATTGATCTCCTGTCGACAGAAGCTGACGTGGAAGTCCAGACAGGCCGACGTGGACACTTGCAGAATGAAGGGGAAACACAAGGTACGTCATTCTCATAATACTGCAACATCATACAGATAACGTAAAGCAGGAGGAGCTCACTCTACAATTAAAGACATTTACAAGAAACATTTTGAAGAAAAAAACATTTACAAAGTATTTAAAAAACTAACTGGAACATCAGCATAATGGACATACAGTATGATGATGATGAAGATGATGATGATGATGATGATGACGATGATGAAGATGATGAAGATGATGATGATGATGATGATGTACGTGTTTCTCGTCTGGTTTCAGGACGAATGCCACAACTTCATCAAGGTTCTCCTGCAGCAGAGCGGCGACTCTCTGTTCGTGTGCGGGACGAATGCCTTCAACCCGTCCTGTCGGACCTACAAGGTGAGTCTCTCCACAATCGAGAAAGAAAACATTCCTCGGTTCGTTTTCCCCGCGAGTGAAACACTCGGAAAATCTTCAATAATCTTGATTGTTTTTGCTGTAAAGATAATCCGAGACGCTTCTGTCCTCTTAAAGAGGCTCTGAGCGAATCAAATACTATCACACTATTTCATTTTGTTTATATTCTTCAATTTATATACTTTGTACATTTTGCACAAGTTTCTATATTTTTTCTTTTTCCCCATTTGATCCCTTAAAACTTTAATCCTTTAATCATTAAAATGACATATTTAAATGTTTTTTCCATTATTCCTTAAAATATCTTGAATGTAACTCGACACCCTCGCCTCATTTAGTATGCGCGGTTCTATGAATATGCCCCGCCTCCACTCACTCTGGTTGACTCACACACGTTGATCTGATTGGTTCCAAGGTGGTTTGTGACGTCAGAAACACCCAAGCGTGTTTTTGAGACTGTCTTTGGTTCACTGCAGTTTTAAGGAGGAAATACTCAGCAATGCTGTCCACTTATCAACGCACACACGGTTAAAGCGGATTAAACACACCACCAGTGGTGGAAAGAGTACTGAAAAAACATACTCAAGTAAAAGTACCATTACATTCCAAAAAATGTAGTGTGAGTAGAGTAAAAAGTACTTGTCCAAAAAACTACTTGAGTAAGAGTAAAAAAGTAGCTTATTTCAAAGTACTCAAGAGTAGTGAGTAGTGAGTACTGAGGTGCGGATTCTACCCCTTATAATAAACACTGTGCACTACAATTTATAAATTAAAAAAAAATGCACATACTGGAATTCACATTATATTTTGTTCTTTGTAAGAAAGATTGAAGAATATCTATCATCCATCTTTTTAAAATGCATCAAATCAGTACACTCATCACCATTTAAATCATATTATTTGGGGGGAAAAGCATTTACAATTAGGCGAAAAGCCACTGGGCCTGAGCATGTTATTGTTGCACATAAAATATCAATATTCATAACTGTGCATATGATAGTTTAGCATCACACACCAAGAGATTTAACAATAAAATAAAAAATACCCAATTTCTCTCCAAAATGGTACCAATGTTAGTGTTTTGATAAATGAGAATCACTAATATTATCATATTACCTCAACTAATGCACTGAAAAAGGCTAAGATAGTGAGCTAACACTAATTACACACTTTAATTCCATGCTATTAAATATGTTACAATTTAAACGTAAATGCATTGTTCTAGAAGGGTGGCATCATCCCTTACATACATTTACTCACATTGTAATGCTGATAATATAATTTGTAAGGAAAATTGTGCATTAAATAGGGAAGTTATATCCAGGAAACTTTTACAAAAGAAACAAATACACTTTGTCTCTGAAGTCTCGGCTAAGCTGTTTTATCAGCAGCATCCACACAAAAAAAAAGTTCAGCATGAAAAATGTTTTTGCGCAAGTGCACTTGCCAAATGAATATAATGGATCAATAAAAAACGCTGTTTATTATCGAGCTGTGCTAATTTCTTATTAAGTAATGCAGTTCAAGTTAATGACATGGTGCACTGATTCTGAATCTGGCGGCATGGCGAGCGCGAGACGCGGCAGTGCACAGATCGTGACGCGCGTCAATCCTGTGATTGTGAAGTAATGGGAGCGGGAATTCACCGCATTATGAACTCGTCTCGCAATTCCCCCAACCTCAGACCAAATGTTAGGCCATGTAGACAGGCCAGCCTATATAAATATCAGAAATCAGCAGAAATGTGAAATGTACCTTAGCATATTAGAGGAAGACGCTGATATCTGGGTTGAATTGATGCGTGATGAATGCACATCCACCGCAGTCACGAGTAACAGCAGGAATAGGCGGTAAGTTTTCTATGCTTAATTTGATTTGATGACAGTCACGAGACCTATTACTCGATCCAATCACGTTGATGGATAAAAATCAAATTAAAACAAGCATGTAACGAGTAACGGCCACAAACAGAAGGAAAATAGCGGAGAAAAAGTACCGATACATCACTTAAAATGTACTCAAGTAAAAGTAATATTACACAATTTTAAACTTACTCAAAAAAGTACAATTTCTGAAAAAAACGACTTAATTACAGTAACGTGAGTATTTGTAATTCGTTACTTTACACCCCTGCACACCACACACTCATAATCGCCGCGGTTCAACACAAGTTTGTCCAGTTTCGAGCGGCCAGGAAAGCTCGTCTCTGCTGTCGGGATGATTGACTTGATATATCGCTCTCCGTGTTTTGAGCTCTTCCAGTGTTTTTCCCTGTGATCACATCATCTCCTCTTCTGCAGTTGGTCAGAGAGAAGTGTGTGTGATCCTCATCCAGCAGTCGCTGTAATATCTGGCACACACACGAGAGAGTCAGCACTCGGCCCCTGGAGCTTCTCCTCGTCCACCTCGGCTGCGCTTCTGCCGGCCAGCTCCCGGGGCTCCGGCTCTGAGGAGAGCGTCTGTTTCAGGGCCAAAGTCGTCCCACATTAATCATCGGCGGACAAATGTTCTCCTGAACGGATGCTTGGATCCGCGGCCTCCTCCCGACAGCCCATCTGTGCCCGCGCTCATCGCGAGCCGGTGTCCGTTACATCAGCTGTTACCGGGCGGATCCGCAGGCTTGACGACACACAGTGGAGGAGTGAACGACACACACACTCGTCCCATGACCCTCAGTGGAGGAGTGAACGACACACACACTCGTCCCATGACCCTCAGTGGAGGAGTGAACGACACACACACTCGTCTCGTGACCCTCAGTGAATAAAGCGTGTGTGTTTGTGTGTATTTCTGGAGGAATGTTAATTGTGTTCCTAATGCGGGAGAATGTGAGCCTCGGTTGACGGCTCGATGGAAACAGCTCTGAAGGAAATGTCGTATTCCCACAAACACGGTGTAAAGTGTGTATTCTGGAGAACCCGGCGCTGGTCTTGGCAGGCCTCGATCTTTTGTTGAAACCAAGAAAGGAAGAGCTTTTAAAAATAACCAGCCGTGCGTGTGTGAAAGTCTCAGACTCGTCTGCAGGTGTCAACACTCCTGCTGTTTGACCTCTGACCTCTGATCTTTCCCTTCATTCCTGCAGATGGACAGCCTGGACGCTCTGGGCGATGAGATCAGTGGAATGGCCCGATGCCCGTACGACGCCAAACACGCCAACGTCGCCCTGTTCGCCGGTAAGACCTTCATCACCAACACCAGGGATTGGCTCACACACCCAGGTCACACTCGACTCACACACACTCGCTAACTTTATAGCTTTATTGTAGATCTGCTGTAAAGCCTGAACACTCTCTGTGACTGTAATCTTCTGTTATCACTGTAACGCTGCTGTCCAACTCTATAGTGTTAAAGCGCTGTATAGATGAAGGAGACTCGACTTGACACTCGGGTCACACTCGGGTCACTCGGGCGCTTCCATAATGAATGTGTGTTTTAATGGGCGCTTTCTGAAGTATGCCAGGAATACGAGGAACTCCCTGACGCGCCGGAGCAACAGTTGCTCCCTGTTTCTGGGAAGAGCGTTTGCTTGGCAGACTCTGGTCTGGAAACACATGAAACTATTGTGGTGAGGGCAGAAGACGGCTCTGCGAGTCCGGCTCAGAATACGGGATAGAAATAACCCACACATGAGTCATTCCTCCATTAGCGGCTCGTAAACCCTCGACGGGCCGAGGAGCCTCTGTTCCCAGCGCTAGAGCCACGGGAAATACCACCTTAAACAAGTCAGGAATAAGAGCAAGATTATTACAGTCTGTTTTACAAGAATATACTATTTCAGTCTTTCACATTTAGTTTCTGTGTAATTATTTGTGAAATTTACTTCTGCAAATTTTATTCAGTTATTTGTTCTTCAAGAGACCGGATTGAGGAGAAAAACAGCACAAAATACAAGAGGGAATTTGAGAATTTGAGAATAAAAAAAAATAAAAAATTGAGAATAAAATAAAAACAGTAAAATTGCAATAAATATTTGTTTTTATCAAGCCCCATGTTGTAATATCAGTGTGCCTACCTTAAAAAAATACATACATAAATATTGTTTATCTGCCTATCTAATTGTCATGTGTATGGCAAAGAAAGAAAGGAATTAATAATAAATGCATTCAAAATGAGATATTTTTATTATAATGAATTGGTGGATTTAAACAACAGCATTTTTATTAAATCAAATCAAAGGGATTTTTTTAACCCTACATGATAAAAATGAGTCAGTTCTATGTATTTGTGCTAGTTTATGTTTGTTTGTGCTGTAAAAGGCCGTCTCTGTCTAGCGTGTGTGTGTGTGTGTGTGTGTGTGTGTGGTTTCTGTCGTGTTGATCATGAACTCTTTGGTTGCAGATGGGAAGTTATATTCCGCCACAGTCACAGACTTCCTGGCGATCGACGCCGTGATCTATCGCAGTCTGGGAGACAGCGCGACCCTGAGGACGGTCAAACACGACTCCAAATGGCTGAAAGGTGAGGCTTCGTCATAACACACACACACACACACACAAACACACACACACACACACTGCCCAGAACCGTGACCTGAGTGTCCTGCAGCGCTGCTAATCTAATCAAACCCTCAGAGAGCGTTAAGAGACGTGACGTGTTTTATCAAAGCCTTGAGAGACTGACGAACATCACTCACACACACACACACACACACACACACGTTTACTATACAGAGACATTCCATAGACATAATGGTTTTTATACTGTACAAACTGTATATTCTGTCCCTTCCCAGATAGCAAACTGACATTGAATCAACGTGGAAATATGACATCAAAACAACGTTGATCTGACATTGCTTTGCTCATCGAATTAACGTTGAACCAACGTCAGACGCGTCATTCTTTCAAAACTAACGGAAAATCAACTTGAAATCAACGCGTTGTTTCAACGTTATGAAAGCAAACCAATTTTCGATTTTCATTTAGCTTTGAAGAATGCCGCGTCTGACGTTGGTTCAACGTTAATTCGATGAGCAAAATCAACGTTGTTTCAATGTCATGAGAGACGTCGTTTCCACGTTGATTCAATGTCAGTTTGCTGTCTGGGTTTACACTAACCCTACCCATCACACACACACACACACACACACAGGTAAACAGGGTAAATATGTAACTAATAAACATCACCATTATTTCCTAACTCATTAATCACATTAAGAATTAAAAGCATGTTTTGCAAGTTTTCTGCAATGGTTTATTTAAATATGCAAATGAGGCATTATCTAATATAAAAAATATAATGCGGCTCTATATGAACAAACCTTGAGAATGTAGAAATGAATAAAGCTGTATAGTTTGGTGTGTGTAAAACCGCTGAAGTGACTCGGACTCAAACCTTTAAAGAGTCTACATTAAAAGTAATGAAACAGACCCGTAATGAAAGCTGAGTGTGAACGGTGTTTATCCTGTGGTAATAACTGGATTCTCCGTCTCACTCCTGTGGTTTTCAGAGCCGTATTTCGTCCAGGCGGTCGACTACGGCCAGTTCATCTACTTCTTCTTTCGGGAAATCGCCATGGAGTACAACAGCATGGGGAAGGTAGGAGCGCCTCGCGGGTTTTCCTGCGTCCACACCACAGACAGGAAGTGACAGGGGAAGTGCACAGGAAGTGGGCGTATGAATTAGTGAGGCCCATCGGGACGCAGGTACTAAAAACAACACAAACATTGTCTGGTATCCGAACGATGGCCGTAAATAGCTCAACGTTTATAATTCACTTCCTCGTCTGTGATTATTAAAAGCAAACGGACGAGTGCGTGACAAAGGCTCATTGTTGTGAGTTCAAAGGCAAAAGTCAGTGAGATTTGAGAGGCTTCCGTAATTACAGGCTGAGTCTCCAGTTACTGTAATTACACTAGCCTGCCGCGACCCTCTCACACGCCTGAGCAAAGCTCTCAAATTACAGCCAATGAATGACAACTGTTGCTCTGCAGAAACACAACGACTGTAACTATAACTATACAATACAGGTAACGTTTGCATAATCGCTCTATTCCAGGAGAATAGTGAAGTCCACACCACAACTATAACGATAACGACTGCGTTGGAATTACTTGCAGAACTTTTTTCCCAGCTGATGAACGATAAAATACATTGAGAGCCAATCAGAATCCATGATCCAAAGCGACAGACGATTGTGCGCTGATGTGGATGCTAATATAGCTATCATTATTGTTATCGCTGAAGCTATCGTCTGCTGGTGTGGATGCTAATATAGCTATCGTTATTGTTATCGTTGAAGTTATCGTCTGCTGGTGTGGATGCTAATATAGCTGTCATTATTGTTATCGCTGAAGCTATCGTCTGTTGGTGTGGACGCTAATATAGCTATCATTATTGTTATCGTTGAAGTTATCATCTGCTGGTGTGGACGCTAATATAGCTATCATTATTGTTATCGCTGAAGCTATCGTCTGCTGGTGTGGACGCTAATATAGCTATCATTATTGTTATCGCTGAAGCTATCGTCTGCTGGTGTGGATGCTAATATAGCTATCATTATTGTTATCGCTGAAGCTATCGTCTGCTGGTGTGGACGCTAATATAGCTATCATTATTGTTATCGTTGAAGTTATCATCTGCTGGTGTGGACGCTAATATAGCTATCATTATTGTTATCGCTGAAGCTATCGTCTGCTGGTGTGGATGCTAATATAGCTATCATTATTGTTATCGCTGAAGCTATCGTCTGTTGGTGTGGACGCTAATATAGCTATCATTATTGTTATCGTTGAAGCTATCATCTGCTGGTGTGGATGCTAATATAGCTGTCATTATTGTTATCGTTGAAGCTATCGTCTGTTGGTGTGGATGCTAATATAGCTGTCATTATTGTTATCGCTGAAGCTATCGTCTGTTGGTGTGGATGCTAATATAGCTATCATTATTGTTATCGTTGAAGCTATCGTCTGTTGGTGTGGATGCTAATATAGCTATCATTATTGTTATCGTTGAAGCTATCGTCTGTTGGTGTGGACGCTAATATAGCTATCATTATTGTTATCGTTGAAGCTATCGTCTGCTGGTGTGGACGCTAATATAGCTATCATTATTGTTATCGCTGAAGCTATCGTCTGCTGGTGTGGATGCTAATATAGCTATCATTATTGTTATCGTTGAAGCTATCGTCTGTTGGTGTGGACGCTAATATAGCTATCATTATTGTTATCGTTGAAGCTATCATCTGCTGGTGTGGATGCTAATATAGCTGTCATTATTGTTATCGCTGAAGCTATCGTCTGTTGGTGTGGACGCTAATATAGCTATCATTATTGTTATCGTTGAAGCTATCGTCTGCTGGTGTGGACGCTAATATAGCTATCGTTATTGTTATCGTTGAAGTTATCATCTGCTGGTGTGGACGCTAATATAGCTGTCGTTATTGTTATCGTTGAAGTTATCATCTGCTGGTGTGGACGCTAATATAGCTATCATTATTGTTATCGTTGAAGCTATCGTCTGCTGGTGTGGATGCTAATATAGCTATCATTATTGTTATCGTTGAAGCTATCGTCTGTTGGTGTGGACGCTAATATAGCTATCATTATTGTTATCGTTGAAGCTATCGTCTGCTGGTGTGGATGCTAATATAGCTATCATTATTGTTATCGCTGAAGCTATCGTCTGTTGGTGTGGATGCTAATATAGCTATTGTTATCGCTGAAGCTATCGTCTGCTGGTGTGGATGCTAATATAGCTATCATTATTGTTATCGCTGAAGCTATCGTCTGCTGGTGTGGATGCTAATATAGCTATCATTATTGTTATCGCTGAAGCTATCGTCTGCTGGTGTGGATGCTAATATAGCTGTCATTATTGTTATCGCTGAAGCTATCGTCTGTTGGTGTGGACGCTAATATAGCTGTCATTATTGTTATCGTTGAAGCTATCGTCTGCTGGTGTGGATGCTAATATAGCTGTCATTATTGTTATCGTTGAAGTTATCATCTGCTGGTGTGGATGCTAATATAGCTGTCATTATTGTTATCGCTGAAGCTATCGTCTGTTGGTGTGGACGCTAATATAGCTGTCATTATTGTTATCGTTGAAGCTATCGTCTGCTGGTGTGGATGCTAATATAGCTGTCATTATTGTTATCGTTGAAGCTATCGTCTGCTGGTGTGGACGCTAATATAGCTATCATTATTGTTATCGCTGAAGCTATCGTCTGTTGGTGTGGACGCTAATATAGCTGTCATTATTGTTATCGTTGAAGCTATCATCTGCTGGTGTGGATGCTAATATAGCTGTCGTTATAGTTATCATTCACTGTTGTGAACGGGCTCTAACACTTGTGTCTCTCTCTCGGATCAGGTGGTGTTCCCGCGTGTGGCGCGCGTGTGTAAGAACGATCGCGGCGGCTCGCAGCGAGTCCTGGAGAAACAGTGGACGTCCTTCCTAAAGACGCGACTTAACTGCTCAATCCCGGGAGACTCTCATTTCTACTTCAACATCCTACAGGCCGTCACCGACGTCATCCACATCAACGGACACGACGTCGTCATGGCAACCTTCTCCACGCCATACAACAGGTGTGCGCGAGAATCTCTCGTGTGTTACTCGTCCATCACCGTTTGTGTCGGAGCAGTTGAGCTTGTTAAATAACCATTAAAGGTGCAGTGTGTAATATTATTAAAGGTGCAGTGTGTAATATTATTAAAGGTGCAGTGTGTAATATTCAGAGGGATCTGTTGAGAGCATTGCAGTATCATAAACATAACTGTGTGTTCAGTGGTGTATATAGACCTTACATAATGAACCGTTGTGTTTTATTAGCTTAGAATGAGCGTTTCTCTCTACACACACACACCGCGCGTCTGCTTACATTCACGTTTCTACGGTGGCCCTGAACGGACAAATGTGTTTCGTCACAGTGTTGTTGTTCATATACAGAATATGCTAAAGTCAGCGAGTAAAACACTGACACAATGATGGTCAAGCAACAATAAAATTTGCAATAACATCGTTTTACTGAATAATCAAGTAAACCTAATTTATTCATTTATCTTTGTAATGAAACCTCATTGTTTAACTGGCTACTCTCTGCTGTATCAGACGACGACATCACTTCCTGTCGGCCACTGTAACGTCTGCTGGGTGCAATTGGCAACCTCACCACTAGATGCCGCTAAAAATGACACACTGCACCTTTAAGAGGCGACATGGAAATTTTGACTGGGGCAAAATTCCAGTGAATAAATGAACTGGTGTTGATGGGAAGGCGACACACACACTGAGGGTGAATTACTCAGATCTTCTGACCCGCGGCTCCGTCTCTCTGAGATTCACAGTTTATAGAGTCACAATCCGGCCCTTGTGTGCGGCTCTCAGACCACAGGAGTGATTCACAGTTGTGTTATTTTGGCGTGTGTCTGTGATGAATGTGTGTTTCAGTATCCCGGGCTCGGCGGTCTGTGCGTATGACATGGCAGAGATCGCGCTGGCCTTCACCGGACGCTTCAAAGAGCAGAAATCGCCCGATTCCACCTGGACACCCGTGCCGGAGGAGAAGGTGCCCAGACCCAGGTACACAATTAATCTTAAAGTCAATCAGTGTATCTTTGATCACCAAAATGACTTTTTTCCTTGATAAAAATTCTTCATGCCTTAAAATATCTTGAGTGTAACTCGACACCTCATTTAGTATGCGCGGTTCTATGAATATGCAGATGAGCCCCGCCTCCACTCCCTCACTCTGGTTGACTCACACACGTTGATCTGATTGGTTACGAGGTGGTTTGTGACGTCAGAAACACCAGCGATTTCAAAGCGTGTTTTTGAGACTGTCTTTGGTTCACTGCAGTTTCAGCAATGCTGTCCACTTATCAACGCACACACGGTGTGTGTTAAAGCGGATTAAACACACCACACACACACACACATAAACAACATTACACGCTGGATCTACACCACAGGGGGGCTTTAATAAGCATGTCTTTATTCAGACTAGTGGAACGAAAACATCCAAAACATACATTTAATTGTTTCGTTTATTGCAGTTGTTCTTATTATTGTTCTCGTGAGCGCAGTGTTTTGTGGTCCTCCAGGTTTGCCGCTCGCTCTTCATCCTCCATATGGCTCGTCTGTGTCATGAACGAGGAGTATCGCCTGCGCTGATTAACATGAAATTATGTGTTTGTGTGAAGCGAGGTCAAGGGTTAATGCGAGCGATCGTGCCAACTGTGCTTCAGTGTAATTCTGTGAGGATGTGCTGGAGAGGAGCGCCGAGACTCGCGATGCGTTCCTGAAGACATCCGCGATAGTCACGACATCATCACGAAACCGCGTCTGTCGTTCAATGATGTCATGCAGGTGTAATCACTACTGCTGATGAATCTGTTTGAGGTTGAATTAACGCGAGATGTTTTTTCCTCAGTTATTTCCAGATTGGATCATAGGCTCGTTCTCACACACTAGAGCTCGTCCACACATGCGCACTTCAAAAACTCTCTTGACAAACTAAAAATTACAATAATTACATTTGTATGCACTGTAAATATATCGATGGCACTGAATGTCAGGTGGTTTATTATTGAGTCCACATCTCATGAGAACGAGAAACTGCCTTCCAAACGCACAACTCTGCGATGCTGTTCGCGAATGTTTTCAGGAAACACGACTCGCTGAACTGATGATGACGACAGAACATGTGACCATACTCAGCTGATCCAGATTGAGTTTAAAGATTCAGTGCATCATTCGGACTGTCTCTCCAGTTTTATGATGGAGAATATACGGATGTGTGTGATGATGATGAAGATGTGTGTGTGATGCTGATGTGTGTGATGATGATGAAGATGTGTGTGTGATGATGATGAAGATGTGTGTGTGATGCTGATGAAGATGTGTGTGTGATGATGATGAAGATGTGTGTGTGATGATGATGAAGATGTGTGTGTGATGATGAAGATGTGTGTGTGTGATGATGAAGATGTGTGTGTGATGATGATGAAGATGTGTGTGTGATGATGATGAAGATGTGTGTGTGATGCTGATGTGTGTGTGATGATGATGAAGATGTGTGTGTGATGATGATGAAGATGTGTGTGATGATGATGAAGATGTGTGTGTGATGATGATGAAGATGTGTGTGTGATGCTGATGTGTGTGATGATGATGAAGATGTGTGTGATGATGATGAAGATGTGTGTGTGATGCTGATGTGTGTGATGATGATGAAGATGTGTGTGTGATGATGATGAAGATGTGTGTGTGTGATGCTGATGTGTGTGATGATGATGAAGATGTGTGTGTGATGATGATGAAGATGTGTGTGATGATGATGAAGATGTGTGTGTGATGATGTAGATGTGTGTGTGATGATGATGAAGATGTGTGTGATGATGATGAAGATGTGTGTGTGATGCTGATGTAGACTGATGCTGTCGTCTTCAGGCCGGGCGTCTGCGCAGGAACTTCTGGTGAGAAATTCAAAGTGTCCAATGAGTTTCCGGACGAGACGCTGAACTTCATCAAGGTTCACCCGCTGATGGACGAGGCCGTGCCGTCGATCGCCAACCGGCCCTGGTTCCTCAAGACGATGGTTCGGTGAGTGGCATCAAACCTCTTCAGATTGATCACGCATGCAAATCTGGACCTGCTCATTTACACGGATGAATCCAGTCATTTGCATCCGAGTCAGACATTACATTTACATTATTCATTCCCAAAGCGACTTACAAATGAGAAGCAGTCGAACTAACAATAGGGCAACGCCATGACCCTTCCCGGCTTAATCTTGACCTGATTCAGGACCTGCTCCTGTTCACGGATGAATCGAGTCAGACATGAGCGATTCACTCACACTTCAGTTCTTCAGAATCAGGAAACAGGAGGATCACCCTCTCGAGAGCAAACGTCTGTTTTCTTCTAATGAAGTGTGTTTCTCTGTGAAACGACGTCTGGTTCCAGCCTGATACGTTTCTGATCACTTGGGTTTGTGTAAAGTTGTCCCAGTAAAACTGAATTATTGAAAACACATTTGCTGCAGACGCGTCGGTATCGCTTTATTACGCCGCTTCAAAGACTCCAGAGACGGGGAAAGAGGAAAAAATATGTTTAATTTGTCTTCTTATTTCCATCTTGCCAGTTTTAATTAGCCTGGAAATGTATTTGCATACTGATTTGGAAATTATACATACATTCGATTAACACTGAGATGAGCTCGCTAATTGGAAAGGCAGATAACGGTTTAATTTCTTTTAGACGGAAATCAGATGGAAATGTCATTGTAACCCTAATTCCTTCTGTGTGTGTGTGTGTGTGTGTGTGTCAGGTACCGTCTCACTCGTATCGCCGTGGATAACGCCGCCGGGCCTCACCGTAACCACACCGTGGTTTTCCTGGGATCGGAGCGAGGGATCGTCCTGAAGTTCCTGGCTAAGATGCGGAGCGGATTCCTGAACGACAGCCTGTTTCTGGAGGAGCTGAGCGTCTACAACCCAGACAAGTGTGTATTCCATTAGCAGCTGCACACACACACACACACACACACACACACACACACAGTTATCGGGTTACAGCGGGCAGTAAATGAAAGAGCTGCTGGTTTGGAGCGAGAGGAACGCGCACTCAATGATTAAAGAGACTAATGTGTGCTGACGGGATCCACAGGAGAAGGATGAGGCGTTTCAGGACAGGCCTGCGTTCACTAAAGCGGCGAGACTTCAGACGCCGCCGTACTGCGGCTTCACCATGTGCTCAGATCAATGAAGCGCGTTAATATGCATTTATTATTAAGAACAGAAGACCATATTCAGATTCACCGCAGGGTTTGCTCTCGTCTGCTGGTATAGAGGTCATCCGCGGGAAACACTGAGTGGCGGCTTTCGATTTCAGTGCAAAAACAGAAAACAGATTTGACAAGATCGATCGCTGTGATTCATAGAAACGACTGGATTTACAGATATTATTGGGTGATGAATCATGGGCTAAAATCGTAACGTTTTGTATTGAAAACTCATCAATTAAATATTTACCATCGAATATTCTGCAAGTTTTAGGGCTGGACGATATGATGATATAAATGTAGTATTGACATGAATTTAGACCTATATTGTATTTATATAAAGCGTTCACAGGCTAATTTGCTTTATGTGTTTGAAATCAGGCTCATATAAATCTGTCAGGAAACGCGATGTCGTCGATATCATGATCTCCGGGTCTGTGGTGAGTCGTAATATCGAGTCTTAAACCGATAATTGTTTGTCCTCTATTAACTCCTGCCGCTCGCTGTCCTGCGGGAAACTGATGTCGATGCGTAACCGCTATTAGTGCAGTCAGATCAATAATGTTACTGGAGATCAAGTGCCTTCTAACTGAAGTTGTTTACGATTGCCACGAAACACATTTGTGAGTCGCACTGTAAATACTGCGCTGTAGGATATACATACATATATATATAGGGACAATATTCCCTCAGAAGTTGCGATTCCACAAATATTCACAAAGAAACACATTGAATCAAACATGACATTTTTAGGTAGAAAGGCTGAAATAGTATTTTCTTGTGAAACGTATTACCAATAGGCTTATTTAATAGGGGTGTCGCAATATATCCCATCAAATATTCATCAATATATGAAGAGTTCAGATGCAAAAACATCTAAATGCCATTTGAAATTTTCTTCTTGAATGATGATTTTTATCAAACTTGTATATTTAAGTTCAGTAATTTTACTTAAATAACAATTAATAGGTAATTATCATCGCCATTTAAGTGAAATTACTGAACTTAAATATACAAGTTTGATAAAAATGATCATTAAAGAAGAAAATTTCAAATGGCACTTAGAGGCTTTTGCATCTGAACTCTTCATATATCATATGTCAAGTTTTCAGAGTATTAGTGTGTCTGACGTGTGTGTGTCTGACGTGTGTGTATTTGATGTGTGTGTGTGTGTGTCTGACGTGTGTGTGCAGGTGCAGCATTGACGGCGTGGAGGACAAGCGTATCGTCAGCATGCAGATCGACCAGCGCAGTCACTCTCTGTTCGTGGCCTTCAGCTCCTGCGTGGTCAAAGTCCCGCTGTCTCGCTGCCAGCGCCACGGGAAGTGCAAAAAGTGCGTACGCTTTCTCTGTACTGGAACCACTTCCTGTCAGTCCTGTCCGCATCACCCCTGCTGTGTGTCTCTCTCAGGTCCTGTATCGCCTCCAGGGACCCGTACTGCGGATGGGTGTCCGAGGGCGCCTGCACAGAGGTCACATCTGACTCGAAGTAAGCGCCTCACTCTCCGCCCTGTAATTATAGATCATGCGAGCCCAGCGATGATGTCACTTTACCCAGCATCCCTCACTCTCGGTGGCCTGATGGGATTGTGGTTTGAGCTGCCGGAGTTTCTCATCTGGAAAAGAGCGTTTGACCCCAGAACGGCTCTGTAATTCATCTGTTTATTATACGGCGTATTGAACGAACAGCGAGTCATGTGACCTCGTCTGATCTGAGGAGTTTATATGCTGTTATTACTGCTGTTGTTTTCCATTTCATAAATGGAGCAGACAGAGGTTACGCGAGGTCGAGATGTGCAGTTTTTCTAAAGTGACTTAGTGAAGGATTATGGGATACGATCTGTGTGCGCCGTTGAAAGGCTTGATGCGTTCAGAAAAGCTCTTTATTAAATGTGTTCGCTCGTCTCGGTGGATTTGAGGCGCTCGTTCGCTGTTGAGCTTCAGAGCACTTAATAATTAATAATAACAATAATGTTCATTGGGGATCACTTTACTTGCGTTAGACTCACATGATGACACACGTTATGAATATGAAGGAGGTTTATGTTTATGACATCTGTCATTAAGTGTCTTTCGCTCAGGTATGACATTGTTAATGCAAATATGAGATGTCTTTGTCATGAACTAACACAACACAACCTGTCATAAACATGACTCAGCAGATTAATGATCAGCTAGCTTTATTGGTTATCATTACGTTCATCTGTCAGGTGGTTGGGTTTGACATTGGCTGTCATGAAGACATTATAACTTTAATGATAAACTGAATGTGTACGACTGTAGTCGAGGACACGAAAATATTCATGACAGTTATAATGACCTCATGACAGCCAATGTCAAAGCCAACCACAGGACACTTTAACTTCATTTAATGTCAAGTTGTCATGACAACGACATCTCAAACAATGTCATATTTGCATTCAATTGAGTGAAAAGACAGTTGTCATAAACATACATAAACCCACTTTATATTCATTACACATGTCATGTCGTGATTATGAAAGTGTCATGCCAGCCTTCAAGTAAAGTGTTACCGTTTATGGTATATTGTTCTATATAATAATAAGTATATTGTTTTATATTGTTTATATATATTATTTCATGAGCAATTAAGTAGCCGGTGAAATGATGAATCTCTCACTGGGGTTGAATAATAATGGGCCGTTCTTCATTATAATCCAATCAGCATCAGTGAAAGTTTATAAATGTGTGTATTAATATTGCTGTCACTTTAGAGATCTTTCTGCTCTTCTCCTCGTGATATTGTTGGAACGGCATTGATTCACTCCAACATTTATTATTATTTGAAAATGTACTTGAGATTGAAGTCAGTGAGTGTGAAATTGAGGTGTTGAAGTCAGTCGTCTCACTGTGTGTGTGTGTGTGTGTGTGTGTGTGTGTGTGCGCGCAGATGGCCGTTCGAGCAGGACGTGGAACAGGGAAACACAGATGGACTGGGAGACTGCCAAAGTAAGCAGAACCCGTTTACTGAGCGCTGGACACACGAGAGCCTCACACACACACACACACACACACACACACACACGAGAGCACACATACAGCTGCTGTCACACACACACTCACACACACACACACACACACACACACACACACACACGAGAGCACACATACAGCTGCTGTCACACACACACTCACACACACATGAGAGCCTCACATGCAGCTGCTCTCTCTCACACACACACACACACTATATAATAACGATGACTGTTATATTAATGTCCAGATCAACACATTTATGTCACTGCAGTTTGGTCATGAACTCACTTCTGGAGTTTAAAGTGTCATTAAAGGATTAGTTCACTTTTGAAAAAACTTTTGCTGATAATTTACTCACCCCCATGTCATCCAAGATGTCCATGTCTTTCTTTCTTCAGTCGAAAAGAAATGAAGGTTTTTGATTAAAACATTCCAGGATTTTCTCCATATAATGGACTTCAATGGGGACCAAACGGTTCAAGGTCCAAATGAGAGTTTCAGTGCAAACTGTTCAAATGTCTTTAAACGACACCAGACGATGAATAAGGGTCTTATCATGCGAAACGATCGCGTTTGTAACGTCACGTATTACGTAATTACGTTCAAAAGGTCACGGGCGACGTAGCCGGAAGTACAGAGTCAGTGTTTACAAGTTGAACGCATAGGTTGAACGTGCAAACTAACTCAAACGCCGTTTACAAAAAAAGGAATTAAAAGATAAAAAAACGATGTCGGACGATTTTGATTCTGTACTTCCGGCTACGTCGCCCGTGACCTTTTGAACGTAATTACGTAATACGTGACGTTACAAACGCACCTCACAGAATAGAGCAAGGCGAGCATTTGAGCTTATAAAACTTAAACTTTGTTATTTATTTATTAAATGAGCGATCGTTTTGCTTGATAAGACCCTTATTCATCGTCTGGAGTCGTTTAAAGTCCTTTGAACAGTTTGCACTGAAACTGGCTTTTGGACCTTGAACCGTTTGGACCCCATTGAAGTCCATTATATGGAGAAAATCCTGGAATGTTTTCATCAAAAACCTTCATTTCTTTTCGACTGAAGAAAGACAGACATGGACATCTTGGATGACACGGGAGTGAGTAAATTATCAGCTAAAGTTTTTTCAAAAGTGAACTCCTTTAAATGAGTTGAGTCATGAATCGTGTGTGTGTGTGTGTGTGTGTGAATCACATTTCAACCAATTAACAGCTGTTTCGTTTGCCTCCAGATTCGTTCGTGGCTCTGAACGGTGAGTAAACTCTTCATCTCTCTCCTCCTCCTCCTCGCTGTGCGACTCCAACGCTTCATTCTCTGCGTTTTCTTTTAGAGCGTCAGCACAGGCATCAGGGCCATATTACCCAGAATGCACCACGCGGTCTGTGTCCTCCGTTCTTCAGTGTTCCCCGTGTGTGTAGATGTAGTTCCTCATTGATTGGCTCTGACCTTTCCTTCTCTAATTGGCTGGATCTCGTAGAGCAAAGGATTGTGGGTTAGAAGCAGTGAATGCAAATGCCGGAGTGTGTTTACCGGGAATAAACTCTCCGCTTCTCCCTAGACCAGCAGAAATTATTCATGAAATACAATCAGGCTGAACACGCGCACACACACACTCTTGATTGACATCAGTCCCCCGACAGCGAGGCTGCGTCTGATTGGCTGAGCAGTGTTTGGTGTTTGTGACCTACATATCCTCATGTTTATTAGGGATTCCTCCAGAGCTTCATTATGATCCTCGGCTCTTCTCTCTGCGAGTGTGTTTGATGTTTCTCCTGTTTTCCTTTATGAGCCGCTGTGTTTCATCTGTGTGTGTCCGTTTTAGTCCTCCTCTTCCTCGTTGTGTGTGTGTGGTTTAGGATCTCGTATGTGTGTCAGCGTCCTCTGGCTGAATGAATTATAAAGCAGCGCTGTCACACGGCTCTCGGCCCGCGGCTCTGGCGTAAATAAATCATGTTAATGACTGACGCTGAACAGAGACAGTTATCTGTGGATTAAAGGGCCGGCTGATCGGGATTTCACTTCTCGGACTGGAGAGTAAATACAGAGCGGTGACTCTCTCGACGAAGGTGATGGCCGCCAACGGGTTTCGATTCTGACGCGCGAATTAACACAAAGTGGTCAAGCATCAAACTAGACGCGTCAGACGCAAATTTGATGCGCTATTCGCGTCCAGTGTGAACGCACAGTAACACACACACACACACACACACAGGAGCGCCTGTAGCTCCGCCCTCTGCGCCGGGAGCAGCAGCTCATTTGCATTTAAAGGGACAGACACGAAACGACTCGTTTTGCTCACCCGCAAAAAGTGACACTTTTAACATGCTATGAAAACTATCTGTTGGTCAGATAGTCGATTGATCAGTTTCAGGTCAGATAGTCGATTGATCAGTTTCAGGTCAGATAGTCGATTGATCAGTTTCAGGTCAGATAGTTGATTGATCAGTTTCAGGTCAGATAGTCGATTGATCAGTTTCAGGTCAGATAGTCGATTGATCAGTTTCAGGTCAGATAGTCGATTGATCAGTTTCAGGTCAGATAGTCGATTGATCAGTTTCAGGTCAGATAGTTGATTGATCAGTTTCAGGTCAGATAGTTGTATGTCAGTTTGAATGGGATTTATTGTGATTATGATCAGCTCACTGTAAATGATCCGTCTTATTACACACATACTCATCAAATAAATCAATCAGTGGACATGAAATATTGATTAGAGCATGAAGATGTTATCATGTGTGGAGAGGCTGAAAGAAGGACAGCCGTGTTTAACTAGTGTTAGTGTGTGTGTGTGTGTGTGTGTGTGTGTGGGTGGGTGTGTGTGAGGTGTTAACGTGTGTGTGCTCATCAGGTCTCCTCACCACTCCTCCTGCTGATCCACTGGTTCGGGGTCGAATGGTGAAACCGAAGGATCCGCTGACCCGTGATGATGATGATGATGATGATGATGATGAGAGAGACTCATTAGTCTCGGTGTCGTCAGAGACTCAGCAGAAGAGCGCCGGTAAGCCTTGGAACGATCCTGTGTGTGTGTGGAGGAGATGAGATCCTGTTTCCAGCTGAGTGTCACACACTCGCTCTTCATCATCACCGTAACACTTGTACAGCGGCTCCGTCACACACACTCGCTCTTCATCATCACCGTAACACTTGCACAGCGGCTCCGTTACACACACTCGCTCTTCATCATCACCGTAACACTTGTACAGCGGCTCCGTCACACACACTCGCTCTTCATCATCACCGTAACACTTGTACAGCGGCTCCGTCACACACACTCGCTCTTCATCATCACCGTAACACTTGTACAGCGGCTCCGTCACACACACTCGCTCTTCATCATCACCGTAACACTCGTACAGCGGGTCCGTCACACACACTCGCTCTTCATCATCACCGTAACACTCGTACAGCGGGTCCGTCACACACACTCGCTCTTCATCATCACCGTAACACTTGTACAGCGGCTCCGTCACACACACTCGCTCTCCATCATCACCGTAACACTTGCACAGCGGCTCCGTTACACACACTCGCTCTTCATCATCACCGTAACACTCGTACAGCGGCTCCGTTACACACACTCGCTCTTCATCATCACCGTAACACTTGCACAGCGGCTCCGTTACACACACTCGCTCTTCATCATCACCGTAACACTTGCACAGCGGCTCCGTTACACACACTCGCTCTTCATCATCACCGTAACACTTGCACAGCGGCTCCGTTACACACACTTGCTCTTCATCATCACCGTAACACTTGCACAGCGGGTCCGTCACACACACTCGCTTTTCATCATCACCGTAAAACTTACACAGCGGCTCCGTTACACACACTCACTCTTCATCATCACCGTAACACTTGCACAGCGGCTCCGTTACACACACTCGCTCTTCATCATCGCCGTAAAACTTACACAGCGGCTACGTTACACACACTCGCTCTTCATCATCACCGTAACACTCGTACAGCGGCTCCGTTACACACACTCGCTCTTCATCATCACCGTAACACTTGCACAGCGGCTCCGTCACACACACTCGCTCTTCATCATCACCGTAACACTTGCACAGCGGCTCCGTCACACACACTCGCTTTTCATCATCACCGTAACACTTGCACAGCGGCTCCGTTACACACACTCGCTCTTCATCATCACCGTAACACTTGCACAGCGGCTCCGTTACACACACTCGCTCTTCATCATCACCGTAACACTTGTACAGCGGCTCCGTTACACACACTCGCTCTTCATCATCACCGTAACACTTGCACAGCGGCTCCGTCACACACACTCGCTCTTCATCATCACCGTAACACTTGTACAGCGGCTCCGTCACACACACTCGCTCTTCATCATCACCGTAACACTTGCACAGCGGCTCCGTCACACACACTCGCTCTTCATCATCACCGTAACACTTGTACAGCGGCTCCGTCACACACACTCGCTCTTCATCATCACCGTAACACTTGTACAGCGGCTCCGTCACACACACTCGCTCTTCATCATCACCGTAACACTTGCACAGCGGCTCCGTCACACACACTCGCTCTTCATCATCACCGTAACACTTGCACAGCGGCTCCGTTACACACACTCGCTCTTCATCATCACCGTAACACTCGTACAGCGGCTCCGTTACACACACTCGCTCTTCATCACCGTAACACTTGTACAGCGGCTCCGTTACACACACTCGCTCTTCATCACCGTAACACTCATACAGCGGGTCCGTCACACTAGTTCACAGTTCATTAGCTAATGTTAGCAAGATTTTAATAAAGTAAATTAGTAATAAATACTGAATACGTGTCGGTTATTATTCTTAATGTTAATTTCATCCTTTAATAATACATTAAATAAAAAAATGGACCTGTTAATGAACAAATGATGAACAGGCGTTTGTATCAAGTAATGGTATCAAATATGAATCAAAACAAATGTATTGCATACAATGTTATGTATATTTCTACATTGAGCAGCGGTCAGTCTCTCCGTGTGTGTGTGTGTGTGTGTGTGTTTGGCGCGTGTCTGAGCGCTAATGAAGAGTGTTTCCAGTTGCTCACGGATGTTCCAGCTCGAGTGTGTTCCAGAGCTGAGGTGAAGATCTACGTCTATCCGATCGATACAGCGCGAGCGCGTTACAGACGCTACACTCGTTAGCAAACGCCAGTGTTTAATTGACATTGATTATCAATAATGAAGAGCGTGATCTCCTGACAGACTCGGTTTCACTGACACGAAGGTGTGTGTGACGGTCGCTGGAAGCAGTGTGTGTGTGTGTGTGTGTGTGTGTGTGTGTGTCCATCACTGAGCTTGGGTTACTGTGGGACGGACCCCGGCTCATGCTTCACTTCAGCTTGATGATGCTGATGGCGTGCAGCTTCTCTCTAATATGGGTTGCTCTTCAGTTTTCTTTCTGAGCGTGAGCTGTGATTATATTTTTCTTTATGAGCGTGAGCTGTGTGATTATATTGAGTTATTTTATGACGCATGGCTTTTGTATATTCACTGCTTTTACTTTTTTCAGATTTTTGTGGCAAACGCTCTCTCTCTCACGGCCGGATCTCTGCATTCTTTTCTGCTTAACATGCTAACGCCCTCATGAATATTCATGCAGACTCCTCCCCCTCCTGTGTGTGTGAAAGGTCAGATGTGCTGTGAACGACCACCGGCACATTCACCACACGCAAATACAAATATTCAAAGAAAATGAAGCCTTTTTATGCAATGCAAAGATGCTTTTTTGGACATTTTACCCAAATTCTCAGGACAATAATGCAAAACAAACAACAACATTATTTTAATGTGAAAATATAATGGTTATTAATATTTGTATAGTATTTGTTAAAGTGCCTGTCATTATTGCTGTAAATAGACTTCATTTTCTTTATTCAAAAAGATTTCTATTTGATTTTGTGGTGAAATGTGTTTTCATGATTAACTGGTGATCTGTGAGGTTGAGCTGGTGTCTTCACAGTGCGTGTGTGTGAGTGTGTGTGTGAGTGTGTAAGTGTTCACCCCCCCCTCCACCATCTGCTGCCATTGTGATTCCACAGGACCTTCATTCTCCCAATGGATCGTTCCAAGGCTGAAGCTCTAATGGAGCCACAGCGTTTGACTAACCTTAATCTAGTGTGTCTCGACCTCTCTCTCTCTCCTCCCCCCTTCTCCCGCTCTCTCTCTCTCTCCCCCTCTCTCTCTCCCGCTCTCTCTCTCTCTCTCTCTCTCTCTCTCTCTCTGTAAACCTGTGGCTCTCGCTCGCTCCATCTTCCTCTGTGTATCTAATTTATAGGTCAATTACAGACACACAGCGAGCGTCTCTCTGGGTTTCTATCCTGCATGTACAGTCTCTGAACACACACACACACACACAACATTGGCTCAGTGTTGACGTGATGTCAGCGGGCGAACGAGCGGGCGTGGCTCACAGCGCACAAACACTGAAGAAAACACAGCGATACGCAAGGATGAGCTGATCAGATTAACTGAAAACTGTGTGTATGTGTATGTATATATACTTATATGTACAGGTGTGTGTGTGTGTGTGTGTGTGTGTGTGCATGCAGACATGTGTACAAACACGTCATTATATAGAGTATATAGCAGCGGCATGAACAACACAGATGTAATTCCTCTATACGCTGACCTCAATCTGCAGACAAAGCCTTTTAAAACACCCGTGTGCTGATCCACACACACACACACACACACACATTATCAGCTGTTCACCACAGCAAACACACTCTCGTCCCGATGCTCTTTACACTGACAGGCATGGACGTGATGATAATGAGTGTGTTCTGTTGTGAAGGTTAGTGAGTAAAGCAGGTTCACTAGTAGTCGACGTCGGTGTTATTCGAGGCGGGAACTGGAAGGGCGGAGCCTCTTGAAATTATTGGCGTTCTTCTTCTTATTATTATTAATATTCTTCCTCTTCGAACCGCTTGCGGGAACGTTATAAAATATGAGTCTCTAACTCAATCCCTCTAGCGCCACCCACCCACTGTCCAAAGTTTCACTCATGTTTATGCTAATGACTTTTAATCGTAAAGGCTAATAACAGAAATCTTGATTGCATGACTCAAGGTGATTCAAATACTTCATATGATGTCGTTTTCCGTCATTTAAATCTTTCCGCCGTGACAACGTGTCAACGTGACAGGCATCTGATCCGGAGATAGTGGGTTTTGTGTGGAATATTGTGTCATCCTTTATTATTCTTGCGTTGTACTAATCTTTCTTTCTCTTGGATTAGAAATAAGTATGTTGTGTTGATTTCGAGTTAATTCTCACCTGTACTTCTGAACCATCTTCATGTATGTTTTTGCTCCGGCTCGGCACGGCTTCAGGCGCTAGGCCCCGCATCGCAGCTCGCAGCTATATGTTTAATTCGTCAGTTAAACTCACTGCAGCGGATCCTCGAGACGTCCGCCGGCGGTTACTAGAGAAACACACTCATGCTGAGCAGGAGATGTTTAATTACATAATGATATTTGCACTGACCTCAGACTGTAAATCATCAAATCTAGATATTTAAAAGGTAAGACCTAATGAACGGTGCGCTATTTGATGAGATCATGCCGTGTGTGTGCTCTGAATGTACTTACACACACATTTAATTATAGTTATTACAGCTTCTCATTTCAGCGGCGGTGTTTTAATGCTCATGGATTCGACACACGTTTCAGAAGACGTGATAAAGTGCACAGCACAGATATCGAAACATTCTCAAATCAAGAGACATTCACTGGAGAAGCCAAATTACTGGAGATATTAAGACTGAAAAATGAAGTGAGTTTGTGAACAAATATCTGCCAATGGAGAAACAATCCTGTTTTCAAGATTATTTTTCTGATTTATTTTTTATTATTCTTAATATCTTCAGTCATTTTGCTTCTCCAGTAAATTTATTTTGATGTAAGAATGTTTACATGTATGTGATGGAAAACCAGCCAAACAAGCACTAAAAATATATATTACTACTGAGCACTAAA